TTAAACTACAATTCAAAAATGAAGCTTCATGGACGTACAGAGGAAAATGAAATCATATCAACTTGCAATATGGGAAATGGGCCTTGGAGGATGTAGCTTTTGAGCTGTAAGGGACGGAAGGAGCCTTTCTAGGCTAAGAGAACAGCTGGCTGTGGGGGGAATAATGTACGGAGATGTTTGGAGCTGGGATGGAAAACAACCTGGGGTGGCATGAGAAGCCAGGTTAAGCCACTCCCCGTAGGCCGTCACTCGAGCCACAGTGGGGCATTGGCCCTGGTTGGGGCGTGGGCTTTCAGGACAGTCATTCTTGAAGGAAGCAGAAGAATGGGCTGGGAAAGGGTGTTCTTGGAGGAAGCGGTATCAATCGGAGGGTTCTAGCCAGGGGGCACCTGGGACTAAGGCAGCAGTGAGAAAGCAACAGCCAGTTTGCAACTACCAGTGCATACTCGTTCCTCCTCACGTCGGAAATCAGGCAAGTGCAGAAAACCCAAAATGTGTCCTGAAATTTGCAGGAAAGCCTGGCTTAAGCTGATGTGAAGTTATTTGCCATCCTTAACTCTCCCACTGTGGTGGCTAAACCCCAAACCATACCAAACCCACTGACATGAGGGGCTGCTGGTGGTTTCGAACTGCTGACCGTTCGGATCGCAGTTGTGGGCTAAAAGATGGTCACAATTTTTTGCTACTCTCCTCAGCCAGAAGTGGTGTCTGTTTCCTCTCCTTTTGACTCTGACTTGTTCTTGAGCAAGTGGTGAATGGTAGAAGGGGAAAAGATGGGTAGCTTTCAAGGCTGGGCCTTAAGAAATCTGCAAGGTAGGCTTTTGTCCCTCTTGGGAAATTCCTTCTTGGAAACTAGCTGCCAGGAAGAAGCTTGGATATGCTGAGCCCACCGTGCTGGGAGGAAGCCCACGCTTCAAAGAGAGCTCCTACATGGACAAGCATGTAGTGCCAGAATGGTAGGTAAGCAATTTGGGACTGTCTAGCTGTGACTTTGAGGACTAAGGTGAGCCAATCGCATCCCATGCATGTGAAAGACGGACATTGAATGAGGAAGACTAGAGAAGAATGGGTGCATTTGAATTGTGGGGCTGGAGAAGAATATTGAAAGTATCATTGCCTGCCAATAAAAAAAACAGATCTGTCTTGGAAGAAATGCAGCCAGAATGCACCTTAGAGGTAAAGCTGGCAAGATTCATCTCATGTTGGACATGTTGTCAGGAGAGACCAGTCCCTGGAGAAGGATATCGTGCTAGGTAAAATAGCAGGGGCAGCGACAAAGAGGAAGACCTTGGACATGATGTATTGACACGGTGGCTGCATCGATGGCTCAAACATAAGAACGATGATGAGGACGGTATAGTTACCAGGCAGTGCTTCATTCTGTTGTATATAGGGTTGCTATGGGTGGGTGCCTGACAGCACCGACCACAGCTCAGTCCAGCCACCAGGTAGAAGCAGCCGAATGATGACACCAGTCACTACCAGTCACCACACATGGAGGAGACACTGCACTCAGATTCTTGACCCACAGAGTCAAGAGCAAGTCAAAGGGTTGTTATTTTAAACCACCACCATTTAAAAAATATATGTAATATTTTGAAGTCTTTATTTTTTTATTAAAAGATCATTTTATTGGGGGCTCTTACAGTTCTTTTTTTTTTTTTAGGGTTTCTAAGACTATAACTCTTTTTAAAATTTGCTCTTACAATTCTTATAACAATCCATATATCAATTGTATCAAGCATACCACCACCATTTTAGGAGAGTCTGTTCCATTGTAACATATAACCCAAACATACTTAGGTTGTTCATATATTCTCATTGCAGAACATGCACGTACTTGATTTCAGAGTAAGGCTTCAGACTTCATTGCGAGGCCTGTGGAATATACGGCGCAGGGACATTTTACCTTTCTAAATAAAAAACCACAGCAGCAAAATCACAATTCTGAAATCCTTTTGGCCCCAAGCAGTTTTGAAAAGGGACTACCCTTTGTGTTACAGAAATAGAGCTGTCAAGACTTCCTTCCTGTTTTCCTGCATTCACTAAATGCCATGCCTTGTGTTTTAGAATGCTTCTCCAATGTTCCTTCAAATGCATGATCCGTTTTTCCCATACCAGTAGTTCTCTAACTTAAGCGACATCCCAGTCTCTCTGTTCAAATACAGCTTCCTGCCACGCCCCCCTCCCCCCACCCCTCCCCCGTAGAGTTTCTGGCTCAGTGCATCTGGGGTCAAACTTGAAAACTTACCCGTCTGACAATTTCGTAGGTGGTGCTGCTGCTGCTGGTCCAAGGGACCACAGAAGACAATGCCTCCAGGGAACCCCCTCCCTGCCATCGAGTTGATGCTGACTCATAGTGACCCTATAGGGCAGGGTAGAACTGTCCCTGTGGGTTTGTTTCCCAGACCGTAGCTGATTACAGAGCAGGAAGCCTCAAGTTTCTTCCATGGAACAGCTGGGGGTTTCAAACAGCTGACCTTACAGTTGGTAGCCCAATTCTTCCTCTAGGGCAGTGTTTCTCAACCTTCCTGATGCCGTGACCCTTTCATACAGTTCCTCATGTTGCGGTGAACCCTCCCCGCCCCAACCATAAAATTATTTTCCTTGCCGCTTCTTAACGGTAATTTTGCTACTGTTATGAATCATAATATAAATATCTGATATGCAGGATGTATTAGGTGACCCCTGTGAAAGGGTCGTTTGACCCCCAAAGGGATCACAACCCATAGGTTGAGAACCACTGCTCTGGGGAGTGTCATTATTTTTATTTTTTTGGTTGTATTCACCCACAGGATCCTGGTACTTAGCAAATGGCTCATCGATCTTCATATTTTCCTATTTTCCATACTTTAAAGCCTTAATTTTTACCCCGAAGGCCCCCCAGGATAGGCTATAGCCTTTAAAAAAAAAAAGGAAGAATTCCTTGGTTTTTAAAAAAAATTAGATGGTATCTTTTGTTTTTTTTTTCCCAGGGCGCAGGTGATAGTACATGATGGCTAAAATTTCCCTTCTGACGCTTTCTTTTTACCTGTCTTGGAACAGATCAAGCACCCCTGGTGGCACAGTGGGTTAAGCAAGGCCGGTGGATCAAGGTCCGGCACCCTTGTCTGTTCTTGTAAAGATTTGCAAGTCTCATGACTTTTGTAAAAATCAACCGTTTAAGGTCGACTGGGCAGCATGTACCTAAGGACAAAGTTCAGAAGGAGGCAAAGGCACCGGAGATAGTGATGGTGCGTGTGGGGGTGCAAACAATGACATGAGACAACATGTGTGTGGACTGCTGGACGGGAAACTGATGATCTGCTCTGTCAATCTTCATCCAATTGATAACAAAACATACCTCCAAAAACCTAACAACAACAACAACAACAAAAGATTTTGAGCCTCAGACAAACTAAGGAGCAGCTCTGTTCAATGGAGCAGCGCTCCTCTGTCCTTATCCGGCAGGAATCCACGGCTGGTTTGGAACCTCAAAGAAACCCTCCATGTGTGGCCGATCATGATTTCACATTCCCCACCGTCGTTTGGGTAACACACATTTCTTGCCGCTCATTCACAAAACAGGAGGAAGGAATGTCGAGAGATACCTTTGCAGGGAAGAAGCTGCCCAGCATCAGCGCCTGCATTTTACAGATGTCGCGAAGGGCACCCAAAGAGGTGTGGCCACTGCTCACGCTCACTCAGCTGAGAAACGCAAGGGCCCGCGTGGGAAGTTCAGGTCTAACCTGACCCTTTCACAAGCTGCCTCCCTAAATGAATCTCCCTCTCCACCTCCCAGTCCCAGGAGAGCACGGCGCGTCCAGTCACCAAACGCCCTCCGCTCAACCCACACCTTTCAAGCTTTCTGCAAACCTTTCTTTCCCGGCGTGACGAGATGGGCACGCCATTTCACCTCGACGACCTCCTTCCTCCCCCTTTCTCTGCCTGCGGGACCGAGCGTCTGGCCCCGCACCCAAGCCAGAGATTAAGTGGGTTCATCAAATTGTTCCCACCGGGACAGGCAGGAAACAAGGCCGCCGCACTTTGGTGGCGGCCGCAGGAAAGGGAGAAAGGCAGGCCGTTGCCCGAGGATTCCCGGCGGCCTCCTCCATCTGGAGCCGAAGGTCCGGCTGGGTCGCCATTCCAGCCGCTAGGTCCCCAGTTCAAGCCCCCCACCCCCGGCCCCTGCCTAGCTCCTCGCTCCCAGGGCCTGATTCCAGGGACCACGGAGCCCCTAGAGGCCTCGATCCCCTTAGCAAGCCCCCGCCAGGTGGAAGGCGACAGGTCAGCGCCGGTCACACACCGCGGAGGCGGAGCCGCGCCCGCGCCGGCCGGAGGTGGCGGTGCAGGCTGGGAGGGACTCCGCTCCGGCCCGG